AGTTTCACCACATTTTATAAATTGGCCATGCCCACCCAGTCACATGACTGCCAAGCCATTCCCACCCGCTCACATGGCCAGCAAGCCACTCCCATAAAGCAGGCCACACCTACAGAAGAGGTTCTAAAAAAAATTTGAAACCCACCACTGGGTGCACATGAACTATGTTTCTCCCTCCCCCTTTCCAGGAAATGGCGGGAACCAGTTGCACATGCGTTTAATTATTTCAGGGGAGGGCTTATTTTAGTACATGTGCTCAAAAGCCCGATTGAGCTTATTATCTAGGGAGGGCTTATTTTCAGGGAAACAGGATATTAAACCTTAAGACCGTCAACCATGGCAGTGTATAGCTGCTCAAAGGGGCAGAAGAGGTAGTTCATCTCTGCTAGTCCTCAATTCACAGCCACAAGTCAGCTCCAAATTTCCCTTAGCTAAGCAAGACAATGGTTAAGTGAGTTTTGCCCCATTTTATGACCTACCATGCCACAGGTGTTAAATGAATCGCTGCTGCTGTTGTTAAGTTATTCACACAATTGTTAAGTCAATCTGGCTTCCCCGTGGACTTTGCGTGTCAGAAGATCGCAAAAGTGGATCACGTGACACACACACACCCTGGGACGCTGCAAACGTCCTCAGTATATGCCAGTTGCCAAGCATCTAAATTTTGATCATGTAACCATGAGGACGCTGCAAACAGTCATAAGTCACTTTATTCAGTACTGTTTGTCATTTCGATCACTAAATGAATGGTGTAAGTCGAGGACTACCTGTAGCCGATTACCATATTTTTCGGACTATAAGACGCACTGGAGTATAAGACGCACCAAGATTTTGAAGAGGTGATTTTTTTTAAAAAAGGTTTTGCACTCTGCAGGTCTCCCAAACCCTCTGCACGCCTTGTTTTTTTGCAAAAAATAAAAAGGGCATGCAGAGATTTGGGAGGCTTGTAGAGTGCTCCTGGGAGCTGGGGGGGGGGGTAAAAATGATCCATTTTTTGCTCCATTTTGCCCTTCCCAGCCCCCAGGAGCACTTTACAAGCTTCCCAGACCCTTTGCACATCCATTTTTGCAAAGGGGGCGGGTTTCTGGTAGGCCAAAAATGCTGTATTCAGTGTATAAGATGCATCCAGTTTTTCACCCTCTTTTTGGGGAAGAAAATGTGCGTCTTATACTCCAAAAAATACGGGTACATGCAGAGGTAGTCCTTGACTTAACAACCACAACTAAAATCAGAATTTCCATGGCTAAGCAAGATAAAATGAGATGCATCCGATTTTATCACCTTTTTTGCCATGGTACCCTGTTTCCCTGAAAATAAGCCCTCCCTGGATAATAAGCCCTCCCCGAAAATATTGCAACTCAGCAGCAGCCATGAGGTGACCACGCTCGCTGCCTCCTGCACCTCAAAAATAATTAGACCTCCCCGAAAATAAGGCCAAGTGCTTATTTTGGGGGGTCAAAAGAAAATAAATCCCTGTCTTATTTTCGGTAGTTAAAATCGAATCGCTGCAGATGGTCAACCCTGAAGCTGACCTGACCATAGACCATTTTGACAGCTTCGGTGTTGCCACGCAGGAGCTAAGGAACATGGAGGGGGGATTTGAGATAGTTGGGATTCTGCAGCCAAAACAAAATACTTTCTCTCGGGAACCAAGGACATTCTCACACCTGGTCGGAGGAAGGCGGAGTGATGTCACCAGGCAACCAGACCTCACCATGATTGGACAATGTGACTGTTTTGAGAAAGTGACAAAACTTTTATTTTTAATTCGGTGAAAACCGTGGGAGCCTTCAGAGTCGGTTTTCACCAGATACGTGCCAATATGATATTTCCAATGAAGCTATTCTTTCAGGAATCTAGTTTTGCTTTCTGTGGGCGTATTCCTTGGATCCCTGACGCAGATGTTAAGTGAATTGTGGTTCTTAAGTGAATCCAGATTTCCTCATTGATTTTGCTTGTCGGAAGCCATCTAGGAAGGTTGCAAATGGAGATCACATGACCCCAGGATGCTATAACCATTGTAAATACATGCCAACCCCCATGTGCCCAAATACGGATTGCGTGATTGTTGGCATGCTACAATTGGTCACTAAACAAATGCTTGTAAC